GGACAAAAAATAGTTGTGTTTCCTGTTTCAGTCCTGAAAACAATTAGGGTCGTTAGGTAGGGATTATCCTTTTTCTTCTTCTTTTGTTTCGACTTTGGCGATCTCTAGTGATCCAACTACAGTTTAACAAAGTAAAGCTTGCATAAAGAACACTTTCTTTTCAATGTCAATGTTGGAAAACTGATTGTACAATGTCAGATCATGGAGCTAGAAGAGGTCGATCAGCTCAAAAAATTCATGTCCCTTGCAGGGGTCCACACAAAAAAGACTAGGGTCAGCAGTTTTTTCTAGGGTTGGTTGGGAAACAGTAGACACAACATTTTTTTCTAGGCCTTATGACAACTGATCTATCAATTCCAGTTGATGCGGCTTGCTCAGCCCTGCATCAGAGGAGGGAGAAGACATGTTTACCACTACAGATGGTACTCAGGTAAGCTTTGTGACATTCGCATGGACCGGTGTTAGAGTTAGCCGGTAACTATGTAGGGATAGAGAAGATGAGAGAGATGATGTGCACTCTGTCCTCTAGAACTCATAATTTTCAACAACTGTGCACTTTCTGCTATCTGGTCTTACATCAATGATGAAACAGGCTCCATTGACATCATACTGGTAATTATTATTTATTGGTGTTTATTTTCATACATTGCTGCCATCACACACAATTTTTACTTTTTTTTGTTCCTCAGGAAAGTCAAGAACAGAGATTGTGGAGGCTGAGATGGCCAGGTTAGAAAAATGTTGATTGTGTAACTTGTTGGTAGGAGACATTAGCTGTAAAGAAAGAAAGAATGAAAGCAGACTTGCCATTGCACAGTAAAGTGATAATTTGCAAGATTGAATGTAAGTTCACAAGAAATTTTTACTCAAGCAACTGGATTCAAAACCTGTTCAGTTGCTCAGGTATCAATTTGTTGTGTATTTACCTTGATGTCTATTCATTGATGTGTTTATATTGTTCTAATCCTAATAGATACTACATTTCTCCCCAGAATACGGAATATAGGGATCATGGCACATATAGATGCTGGGAAAACGACTACCACAGAGAGAATGCTGTATTATACAGGCTTCACCAGAGCTTTGGGAGGTAAGGATGAGATACAAAGAACTGATCAAGACAACTGTCACTTGCCCTCATATGTATTTTCTAAATGTTTAAGTTTTCATTATTGGTAGTTTTGGTACAGTACTGCCTTAATGCAAACTTGACAGAAGTGGATAGTGATAATATATTTAAAGACATGAACTCTTAAGGTGGTCCAGAAGGATAGCTGAGGCATATTTAGAAATACTACGAACTCTATCTGATATGGTAGTCTTTTGGGTCTATTTTTATAATTTTCTTTCGTCTTGTCACTATGGCCACATTTTGGCCGCCAAATTGACCGCCAAATTGTGCATTTTTTTCACGCTCCAGCCAGGCCCCAGTGGGGGTGTGCACATTATTTTTAAAAGCTACTCCGCCGCTCGACCAATCAGGCTCGCTGGTCATTACGTAAACTGAGAGCTTCACTTTCATAATTTTGGGGAAGGGAAAAGACACTGGAAAAGAGAGTTTTACTGAGCGTTTGATGTCAGTTGTTTGCAAAACGTTTTGGGTAAAAACCTGCCAAATGCAAAGAATAATAATTTTCTGAAAACACAAGCCGTTTCCATTGTTTATCACACTTCGTATCGGCAAAATGTTGTCAAGTTGCAACACACAACCAGAGATATGCAGCCACACAAATCACCAAAAACGCCAGAAATAGTCTGACAACTTCCTATATAAAAACATTCGACTGCCAAAAGAAACGAAGCTGTCTGCTTTGAGCCACAAGTTAGATCTTGGTTTAGTTATGAGCGGCCTGGCGGACCGGGTCACTGCATGCATAAAGAGCCGCGCTTGCTAGTTCATACTCGGCCGTCATTATGCGGCGTTATCCTTTGTGTTCTTTCATGATTTTCACAGACAACTCATTAAGTAATTTTCTACCGAATAAAAACGCGTCTCTACCTGTGCACTGTCTTATTATTCTGAGTTTGTATCGACTGCAACACGTATGTAACTACTAAACGTTAACGTTACGTTCTAGTGAACAGACATGATAAGAACTACTAGTAATTTTTATAAAATCTACGTTTTTATTAAAAATACGATACTTACAAACTTCAGCAGAATTTTTACATAATCTTACGGTAACTGCTAACAATAATCTTTTACGATTTACAGCAAATAGTAGCCGCTTACAAAAAAAATCAGTTCCAACAGATTTACAGAGATAGTCCGTACTTTTCAGATAGAACATAGAACGTCGTGCGTGAAAATTATTTCCACAAGTCTAGGACAACGTGCAACGTAAATTCACATAATCAACAAAATTATATACGCTCATAATCTCATACCACGTCCGGGCAAGCTTTTTTCCAGGGCTATCTACTCCGGTATCGCGCGATAACTTTTCAGTGTTGTGATCTTGCTGATCGTCGATCTCCTCTGGGGGTAGGCCTAAAAAACAAGTCCGTAACTCCAGAATACCCCGGCAGATTTTCTCCAATAAGGTCTCAGAATAGTCCATAAACCTTCATCTGCAAATCTACGTAGGATACGGCCGTGAAAAAGATCGTCTACCGGCCCAAATGCTGGCGCAAAGCGCACAGCTTTCTCCGCTCGTAAACAAGCCACGCCATCCGCCATTTTGGGTGAGTCACGTGACCCCTACTCGCGCGAAATCTTAGCGTTCTTTTTGGCTGTTCTTTTTACTGGACATAACCCCGGCCTGTTTTTCCAAATAGCGCCGCAGTAAGCTAAATACAGCGTGCTGACAGGCCAATGACCCATTTTTCGGTGGGAGGGATGGGCGCCCTTGGAATGGCGACAAAAATTTGCGATTTCGGCTCTTTCGGGCTTCAAAATGGACATTATGTAACCCCTACGACATATACAGCATTTTAAGAATGAAACTGTGGAAAAAATGTTCATGGAAAGAGACAAAAAGGTGGTATTTTTTGAAAGATAAGCTTATAAACTAAAATCGTATGCGAGGCCGACACACTGCGCCGCTTTATATGTTGGGGAGGGGTGCTGACGCATGGCACTGTTGACATTTACGAAAAAAAATTCATAAAAAATCAACACTTAGATATTAAAAAATGCTCGCATACGTTTGTTCCTATTACTAGTGTGTGCCTTTCAACAAAATATGGTGAATAAAAACCAAAGCGCTGGCCAGAAAAATTGATTTTTCTAAAAAGGGGGCGTGGCTCATAACTCGAGATGACGTCATGATTACGTCATCAAAATTTGCATAAATTATCATCTTGCACTAAGGTACTCACACAAAAAAAATCAATGACCATAGGTAATCCTAAGTAGTATTTTTAGGATGTCCCCAAAGTCCTCAGCCACCCTTCCATACCACCTTAAGAATGCAGTGTACAAAATACTTTTTTGAACCAGGTTGCCCAGTGGTCAACCTACGACAAAAATTAGGTTGCCCATCAGAATTTTAGGTTGCCCCACCTATAACTATTTTACTCAAATTAAGTAATGTTACATACATAAGCTTTGACAATATTTCTAACGGACTCTAGTTAACTGATACTAGTAATAGCCATTAATACCTAAAATTAAAAAGCATCTGCCGGATACAGTGGTGGGGGGCCCGGGGCAAATGGGCAACCAGGTATTTTGCATGCTGAAATGAGACTTACATGTAGCTACCATACAATTGAATTAACATGATTGATTACTTTTGGTTACTGTAAATCACTTTACGTTCGCGGTAACAAAAGTTCTTAGTCTGAGAAAAATGGACGTTTGTGGAAGTATACAGAAGCAGCAGGTGCAGCAAAAACAAAGGTGGTAAATTATTTGTTCACAGTAATGATAAGTTTCCGGTACAGAAGTGACCGCGAAAGCCGTGAATGTTAAAGTACTGTGAAAAAGTAATGATTTACAATATCATTGTATGAAGTACAAAATCAGTATGATATGTATTTTTCTTACATTTTGCTGGACAGAAACAAACTAAAGTTGATTATTTGTTGTTTACATGCAGATGTTGATGATGGTGACACAGTGATGGACTACATGAGTCAGGAGAGACAGCGAGGTATCACGATCCAGTCAGCTGCCATCTCCTTCAACTGGCAGAACCACAGGATTAACCTGATCGACACACCTGGTGAGGCTACAGCAGTGCAGCACTATGACGTACCACCCACACCCAGGAATATATTAAGCATTAAGTCGTAAAAGATCACTGTTACACACACACACATAGGAAAGACAAACAACCATAGCATGCGTAGTCCAGTGGTTAGGGACCCTGCCTCTGGACAAAGAGGTTGGCAGGTCAAATCCAGGCTGTCCGGGGTCGCATATCGTCTGTCTTCTTCTTTTTGAATCATGTGTGTCATGTCCTTCTTGGCCTGTGAAATATTCTGTACAGTGAAAAACATACAGCTGCATTTGTTTTGTGTTTGTTTTCTTTGTTAGGCCATGTTGACTTTACGGTGGAGGTAGAACGCTCTCTCAGGGTTTTAGATGGAGCAGTAGCTGTCTTTGATGCTTCAGCTGGTGTGGAGGTCAGTAGACATGTTGTTTATTAACCTTTTTATATTGTCACTTGTCTAACTGTCCAATAATTTTACTTCTAGCGCTAATCCTGACAAAAAACTTTCTTTCTGAGAAGGACAAGGAAAATGTAGCTATGAGAACACAAATCAGCACCAAGGACAGGGAAAGTGTAGCTATGAGAACACAAATCAGCACCAAGGACAGGGAAAGTGTAGCTATGAGAACACAAATCAGAACCAAGGACAGGGAAAGTGTAGCTATGAAAACACAAATCAGAACCAAGGACAGGGAAAGTGTAGCTATGAGAACACAAATCAGAACCAAGGACAGGGAAAGTGTAGCTATGAGAACACAAATCAGCACCAAGGATAGGGAAAGTGTAGCTATGAGAACACAAATCAGCACCAAGGATAGGGAAAGTGTAGCTATGAAAACACAAATCAGTACCAAGGACAGGGAAAGTGTAGCTGTGAGAACACAAGTCAGCACCAAGGACAGGGAAAGTGTAGCTGTGAGAACACAGGTCAGCACCAAGGACAGGGAAAGTGTAGCTATGAGAACACAAATCAGCACCAAGGACAGGGAAAGTGTAGCTGTGAGAACACAAATCAGCACCAAAGACAAGGAAAGGTATCCCTCAGGGAAAACATAATTCCTGTGCCTTTCTTGTGTCACACAGATTTGCCCAAAAGCATTGCACTTTTTTGAAACTACAGCATTGTATTTTAATAACTAGTACTTGTTGCTACAGGCCCAGACACTGACAGTGTGGAAACAGGCAAACAGATATTCTATCCCAAGGATTGCTTTTCTCAACAAAATGGACAAGACTGGAGCAAGGTATTTTTATTTTGCAAATTTGATCATTCCATTGGTTTAAAATTCTAAACATAAGAATTTTATTCAAACGTTGGCAATAGAATACAACATGATTGTAACCAGGCTCTTGTAGCCTTACATTCTGGAATCTGTTTTTGTTACACAAACAGTGGTGATCATTCAGAAAATTGTGGTGATTCAGTGTCTAAACAATGTTGTCATCATGGATACATCTCTACATCTCTTTGTCACAAGTCTACATCTCTTTGTCCTTTTCCTTTTTTTGCAGCTTAGAGTATTCCATCAATTCGATCAGAGAGAAGTTGAAGACAGTTCCTCTAGTGCTACATGTGAGTACCCTAAGCATGTCTTCGTGTTTTCTAAGTTAACAGTATTTTATTAGCAGAATATTTTAAAAAAAGATGAACTTGTAGAGACCATTAAAATGTCTTCTATGGTAAACTGGTGGACATACCAACCACTGAGTATCTAATGCCAGAAAAGAACAAGAAACAGTCATGCCTTCAAATATCAGAGTTATCAAACAAGAATTGAGCTGTTCAAAAACTTGTATTGTCCAAGAACTATCGTAGTGGAACTCGTTGCCACCAAGTACAGTTGGGGCATCGTCAGTAGATAGCTTTAAACCACTCCTGCAGTTAGATGTGCAAAGATTGGGTGTCACAGGCCATTCAGAGTAATATAGCTAGCTGCCACTGCACTGCGTGCCTGTGAAGCTGGTCGGCACAGCAAAGGGCAGTTATACTGGCTATACTGATACAGATACAGATAGTACATGTAGTAGATTCGGAAAACTGTATTTTTGTAAACTATAGAAATTGCATCTCTACAGTATGTGTAATGAATGATATTGTTTTCAGTTGCCCATTGGTATAGAGAAGACTTTCAGTGGCATGGTGGACTTGGTGTCCATGGAGAAGCTGACATGGACCCTGGGCCCAGGGAATGATGGGTCGACATACCAGACAACACCACTCCAGGATGTGGAGGATACAGAACTACAGGAGAGGGCTTTAGAGGAGAGGGCTCTCCTGATAGAGCAGGTACATGTACCAGTATTTGTATTCTTAAATGTTCTAGCACTTCTGATTTCATATTATTGTGGTAAAACAACGAACAACACTGCAAACCATTCGGTATACTGTAAATCACTTTATGTTTTGGCAGTAGCAAAAGTTCACCGTCTGAGAAAAACAGACATGTTGGCAAAACTGTATGTTCGTGGTGGCGGCAGGTGCAGCAAAAAGAAAGTTCACGGTAAAGTTTGTGGTACAGAAGTCAGTTGATTGCTTGAAGCTCACCAAACTGATTGATGAATTTTGTTTTCAAATTGACTCTTTTTTTTGCTTTCAGAAATATAAAGACAAAGACATTTCAAAGTATAGTCTGACCAAGATTGCAGTGTTGTATTGTAGTATAATTGTATTGTATTGTATAACAGACTATTGTATTCTTTATTTTGCAAGCATGTCTAACCCCTAGTTTGAGGAAAAAAAGATGTTAAACTGGATAGAGAGAGAGAGTGAGAGAGTGAGAGAGAGAGATAAAAAACAAATACATGTGTACGAAGTAAAGTACAGAATAGTATGCCTTGATTTCTCTCAGTTAGCTGAGCTGGATGACAAGATGGCAGAGTTGTTACTCAGTGGAGACGGCACATGTGATCTGGAGTCTATCCCAGCTGAGGAGGTAAGGGGCCCAGACGTGGACAATTATCCAATACTCACTTAACTAGGAAACAGCCACAGAAAATATATCCTAACTTCATGATTTGATGTTGTTTGTTAACTTCAAGAGAGGTGAAGCATTTTGCTTTTTCTACCAGCTTATAATATGTGATGCTTATGCATTATGCGGCTTTGCTATTGCTTGCATATTTAGTGGTTAAGCATAGCATAGAAAAGTCAGTATTGAGGATAGCATACCAGGCAGAATAGCCATTAACTCAATTCTACAGCAATGCAAAACTTGGAAATTTCTCCAGGAGGCTCTCTGTTCATAGTTACTATCTGTGTAGGATTAATTTAGACAATAACTGAGAGATTTTGTCCATCTTGGCCCCTGCAGGTCCATATGGCTCTGCAGAGAGTGACCCGAGCCCAGACAGGTGTGCCCGTGTTGTGTGGCAGTTCCCTGAAGAACAAAGGTGTCCAACCCCTGCTGGACGCCATCATCAGATACCTGCCTGACCCACGGGACAAGGGCAAGGAACTGGAGTAAGTAGTCAGGGCTACTAAAGGCCTAGGAAAATGTTGTGTTTACTGTTTCCCAACCGACCCTAGTAAAACTGCTGACCCTAGCCTTTTTTTTGGGTGGACCCCTGCAAGGGGCATAAATTTTTTGAGCTGATCTACCTTTTCTAGCTCCGTGATCTGACACCTAAGTGATGAATAGCTGTACAATCAGTTTTTCAACCTTGACATTGAAAATTTAAGTGTCCTTATGCTACATTTAAATTGTTAAACTGTATTAAATTAGTTGGATGAACTTGGATCACCAGAGATCGCTAAAGTCTAAAAAAATGAAGAAAAACAAAAAGATAATCCCTATCTACCGACCCTAATTTGTTCAGGACTGAAACACAACAGTTTTTTTCCTAGGCCTAATGTTGTGTTTCCAGTTTTAGTCCTGAAAAAAACTAGGGTTGGTAGATATTTGACCTAACATTTTAACCCCAGGCCTCAGGATGATATCAACAATCTTTGGAAGTTTCATTGTATATTTCATTGTATATTTTCAGAATTTCAACATAACAGATGCATGTTGTATTCTTGCTACTTCAAGTTGACTTGGTGAATTACATGTGGAATATTATTCCTTTTTCCTAGGCAGCTGTATGAGGATAGTTTATGTGCATATGCCTTCAAAATCATCCATCATAAGCAGCGGGGACCTCTGACCTTCCTACGCATCTACTCAGGAACCCTCACGCCACAGTCCACTGTCTATAATGTCAGCAGGGACTGCACGTAAGAATAATACTCATACCTACAATGTTAGACCATGTTGTTTTGGTCACTAGCAAGCTGAAAGCAGCTGCAAAATCAGCAAATATATGCCGTGAATTGCAAAATTCTAAAGGATTCTAAAGGAATGGAAGAAAATGCGAAGAAATGAAAATGAAGAGTCTATTACAATAGTAGTTGTTCAACCTTCATGACTGCGTAGATTTCATAATAAAGGCAACTTTTTTTTGGCCAAACTCTTATTAAGTTCCACGCATCAGTTTTGGGTTTCGCAGAGGATGTCATCCATATCATCAAATCTACATTGCCTTACTCTTTGCTATGTTTTATCATGATTATTTTGACTATTTTCAGTCTATCATCACAGTTTATTATGAGGGCATCATTGGTTCATTTTGCAATTATTGTATTTTCTTTTTCTTTTACAATATTTACAAAATAAAACCATATAGGGCAGATACCTGCCGAACTTAAAGTAAAAGCATTCCTGTTCTAGCTTTGAAGGAAAGTTTGCTACTTTCCTACTACGTGTTCTTACTTTCAGATAGATCATTGCCAAACTTTCCACCCTGCAGAGAATGTGTGAACAGACTACTGCTGGTTTTTGCTGATGAGTACAGAGAGATGTCGGCCATGTCTGCCGGAAATATCGCCATGGCTGTGGGGCTCAAACAGGTCAAATTTGTATTCAATTCTTTCCTCCATCAATGTTTCACTCTTACCTGTAGATGTTTAGGTAGTTTAACACCAAAATTGACCTCAACACTTGATGCTTGTTGTTTTTTCAGACATACACTGGAGACACCCTTGTGTCCTCCCCATCTGCAGTGGTATCTGCCAAAAAAGTAAGAGGGCAGCTGCAGGAGAAGGGGCATTCCATTTCTGATATGGGGGACGAGGATGCCCCAGTGCTCGCAGGACTGGATGTTCCTGAACCTGTCTTCTTCTGCACAATAGAGGCACCGTCAATATCAAAACAACAGGGTATGTATAGTCATGTTTGAATGAATGGAACTGTTTCCAGTATTGTCCTTTTCTAGACCTGTGTTCTCATAGCCACACTTTCCCTGTCCTTGGTGCTGATTTGTCTTCTCATAGCTACACTTTCCCTGTCCTTGGTGCTGATTGTGTTCTCACAGCTACACTTTCCCTGTCCTTGGTGCTGATTGTGTTCTCTATGCTACACTTTCCCTGTCCTTGGTGCTGATTGTGTTCTCTATGCTACACTTTCCCTGTCCTTGGTGCTGATTTGTGTTCTCATAGCTACACTTTCCCTGTCCTTGGTGCTGATCTGTGTTCTCACATCTACACTTTCCCTGTCCTTGCTGCTGACTTGTGTACCACAAAAATGTCTAGCAGAACCATTTATGGTTGGAAGTTGACAATGAGCGGCAAAACATTATGAGGGACTTTCTTTTCCATTTCCATTATTGTGTGAAATGCACATTATTGCAGATGATGTAACCGGTCGACATAACCGCACTCCCCTGGAACAACGTATTTGTCGATACTGTAATCTAGATAGAATAGAAGATGAACTTCATTTTGTAGTAGAATGTAGTTTGTGTAACAGTGAGAGAATTGAACTTTATGGACAAATGACATCGATGTTTCCCCACTTTACACACCTAAGTAATACAGACAAATTCACTTTTTTAATGAACTTAGACAAACCCTCGATCCTTAAACTTGTATGTTCTTATCTTTTCAACATCACAGAGAAGCGAAGAGAAGTCGAAATTATGTAACAAACTGTAGTGCTAGTACTAGATTGATCTTGTTGTGTATATATTTGTGTATTCAAGTTAACCTTTGTACCTAACCCAGTGGGTATGTTTGTACAATAAACGTCTTCAATGATATTTACCTTACCTAGAGCTGGATGCTGCCTTGGTCAATCTTCAGAAAGAGGACCCAAGTCTTCATGTCAAAATTGATCCTGAAACAGGACAGGTAAATGATGGCTTTGTTTACTTATTGCTGGAGTACTGTTAGTCGTTGTGTTCCTTTAATCCATCTAGAACACTGATTGGTGATGCCATAGCAAATATGGAAATTTTATGATAATTAAGCTGTACTTTTTTTTTAATTAATTAATTCAATTTTCACTTCAAAACTAGGCTCATAGGGTCCACTAACATATTTTGGGTTACAGTAAGGGACCGTAAAGACAGATGTTTTTTTAGGTTTTACTCATTTGGGAAGCATAATCACAAGAAAGCTTGCTCCATAGTGATGTAATTCTAGGAAAGAAGCTTTCAGCGTGGAACTTCCTCCTGAGAGATGGAGTATGGAGGAAGAAACGGTGATTTTTTTTAGGAGGAAAAGGTGATTTTCTTTTGAAGTAGTGGCAAAATGTATTCTGGCTGAGAAAGTTGAAAGTGGGAGGGGGGGTGATATTGGGGCTTAGTAAAGTAAATGCTGTCAGTTATTGGTTAGTGCTTCATTTTGTGTTACTTTGTGTTTAGACTGTGTTATCCGGGATGGGAGAGCTGCACCTGGAGATCATACAGGACAGGATCCTGAAGGAGTACGGCCTGGAGACACACCTGGGGCCCCTACAGGTGGCCTACAGGGAGACGGCAGGTGAAACAGCTCAAGAAACAGGTGGGTACACCTGGCACCTGCTTGGTTAATGCAGACCAACCTGTACACTATTGAGAACTGTACTTGATGACTTTTACCTACTAGTAGATATACGTACTTCTTTTGAAAGTCTCTTCACTTTGTATTACATTTGGCTAAGTGTCCCTTCTATCCTCCATTCTCTAATTCTTTCAAGGTTGTGCTGAATCTTATATTTTAGTGGGAGAGTCAGGTAGAGGCGCCTGATGTGCAGTATAAACCAAAAACCGAATGAAAAGTGAAATACAGCATAGCCATAGTGTGCTTGGGGAAGGCAGAGACAAATTTGGTCTGTTTGAGGCCTTCCCCACAACTAAACAAAAACAAGCAAATAGTAACTTAACTAAAGTTTGAACTTTTGAACTGAAATAACAATACATACTGAATCAACATGAGTTAAGTTAACAAACTATAATAACAACTGATAACAATGAAGTAAATATCTGAAGGCATAAATAACATGATCCAAAATGTAATTGCTTAAAAGGGGAACTGAACAGAAGAACTAAGTGTAAGTTGGGTTGTGCAGTAAGAATAAGAAGTGAGTGTTCTTAAATTAGTTTGTTCTTGAAGTACACCTACCTAGATTGCCTATAGCCGGTCTTGTTTTTCCGTCCCCAGTGACTGTAGATCGTGTTCTGGGTGCCCAGAAGCACCATGCCGTGGTGACTGTCTCCATACAGCCACTGGAGTTAGACGGTCAGACCAGGGACGTCTCCGTGTACTTCGGACTAGACAGGAGGACAGTGAACAAAGACGTTCTGACAGCAGTGAAAAGTGGCGTTGTGTCAGCTTGTACACAAGGTAGGGAATGTCTTGGAATGTGATGTGTTGTTTCAAGACTAAAACACATTTGGATAGTAGTTTAAACATGCTGTTAAGCCTTAAGACTCACAGCAAGCTACATGTATCACAACCACCCCTATTGCCCCCATAATCCATGACCAGGTCAATATGTAAAGTCACATTGCGTTCAGACTGAAGTCAGAATGCGCTGAAGCCGGTTCATAGCTACCTCCAGAGGTGGTTTGGGATCAAGGTTTCAATGTGATTTAGAGCATTGAGACGGGGCGACATGAATCCTGCTTTGGTGGAATCCAGATGCAATGCGCTTCCACAAGCTTAATGTGAAGAGGGGAATAGTTCCATGCACCAAAGCATCACTTGTATTTACTGGTACTGACATGAGATGATTTGGTAATATGGCCTTTTGTATGTCTAGGTCCCTTGTTAGGCTATCCTGTTGTGGGGGCAGAAGTGACTGTAGATGCCATTGAGGTTGGTGCGGGGACATCAATGGCAATGGTGTCAGCATGTGCAGCACAGGCAACACAGAAGGTAAGGTTCATCACTCTTACTCTGCCCTTCCCATTGTACTTGTCATCAATTTACATTGTGTTTTAAAAGGTTCTTAATGGCAAATGTGCAGATCTTGGCACATTGGCGACACCAAATCCGTCTGTGTCCTCATCAGTGTTTGGACACAGTTTCAACGATTAGCAGAAAAGCCCGGTGGGCATCACTCCAATGTACAGAGTGGGAAGTCATGTGAAGTGCCTTTCACAAGGGCACAACATTGGGCATGTCAGGGGGATTGAACCCAGGATTTCTTGGTTCCAAACACTCTGCCACATGTACATAATCCTTTGGTCATGCAATGCTGTCAGTTTGTATATGGTAGTCTACCTGGTCTTACCTGTGTACTTACTGCTTCCAGATGGTCTGAACAAAAAAACATAATTCATTCAATTTGATATTCCTTCTGTTGTTCCAGGTTTTAAAGAAGAGTGGTGGGAGGATATTAGAACCAATGATGCTGCTGGAGGTAAACTTTGCTCATATGCCATTCCCAGTTTAATATACACAAAGGATATCATGGAAATCTCAATATGCTTCCCTACAGTTGACTTGTCCTGGCAACTTTTGGCATTCTGAGTGGGTGTCATCACAATATAACAAATCTCTGAAGTGATGCCTGAGATGAAGCATTTATCAAGTGCATTTCTCCTGGTTTACATTAACTGCCTTTCTTCTACAAACATTAACACCTATTTTCTCACTCAAGCAAACGATCTTCCACCATCATCCTCAGCTTGGAGAGTACCAAATGTACACCAGTCCTAAGCATGTTAAAGATACCATGTTGCCACACTGAGAGTAAGGGTCCATCCTGTTGAATTGAAAATTAGAGTTCAGTACTAGTCTTATGCAGCTTGTACCAACTCTACAATACTGGACAGATGTGTAGCGCCAAGAAGTTTCATGCCTGTTTCGACTTTCTACTCCTAGATCACCACAGATGAGGGCCACATGCGCTCAGTCCTGGCTGACCTGTCCCAGAGGCGTGGTCGCGTCACGGAGGTACAGAGTCGGGCGGAGTCCAGGGTGGTCGTGGCAGAGGCACCGCTAGCGGAACTCATGGTAACTAACTGTATGTTCGCGGGAGCAGTAGTTCGGGTTACGAGAAAAATGGACGTGTTTACAGAACCATACATTCGTGGTGGCGGCAGGTGCAGCAAAAAGAAAGTTGGTGAACTATTTGTTCATGGTCATGACAAGTTTGCAATACAAAAGTGACCATGAAAACAGTGAACATTAAAGGTTGTTCGGTGTAACAGGTTGTTCGGTATAAAAATTACCTAGCTGACGCCGCGCTGCATGCCTACGAAGCTGGTTTGTTATACTGGCTATACCGACACAGATACAGAAAACTTATTAGTTCTACCAACACACTTTCATTCAACTGTTATACTCTTTACAACACAGGGTTACTCCACGGCGATACGAACTGTGACCTCTGGGCAGGCGACCTTCACCATGGAGCTGTCCAGGTACGAGGAGATGACAGCACTGGACCAGAACAGACTCCTCAGGAAGATGACAACATTCGATGTGGAAGGCTTTTGATGAAACTCATCATTCTGCTATGATTTGATGGCCTTGATGAAGATGGCAGACGGTCATCAAAACATCAGCTCTTGTTAAACAACTGGTTGTGACTTGTGAATAAAGAACTTTGCTATTCAATCATTCACCAACCTGGTGAAATTATTCATGATGGATATTCAGCCATGTCAATTGTAAGTTATACTTTACCGGCTATTTATATTATAAGCAAAACAGATGATTCTTCATGACTTTTACCAAAGTAACAAAGTGTAGGCTTCAAGTGTATAATAAATAGAATTCCAGCTTGTCTAAGCCTGATTCTTTTTGCCACTTCATATAACATTATATGATACACACAATGTAGAACTAGCAGAAAAGTTACTGCAGCCAGGAAAGAAAATTATCATTGACCAGAGACACCGACTTCAGCTTTGCTGCAAATGTAATCACAATCAACAATCATATATTGTAACAAACTTACCCAGTAACATTGTATCTTATGTTTAAAAATTAATGCATTTATGAATCTCAATTGCCTACATAAAAAAAAATCTGCTGTCTATTCTTTGTGATGTTCATTATTCATACATGTACAATTCAGGAGAATATACTAGCAGCTCTTTTGCATTTAACAAGTATTCAAATTTAGCGAGCTTTCTTCAAAATTGCAAACATGTGACTAGTGAGAAGTGTCTAGTACATGTACTTCACAGTCAGCTTGTAAAATGCAGAAGCTGGTACGTATAGAATGCAATATGGTGTATTCCGACTCGAGGGAGGGCCGGGACCAAGGACGATGCGGAATACACCCTGTTGTATTTTATTTATGTCATACCCACCCAAGAAAACGCGCCTTTCAATGCAAAATGGGCCAAAATTTTGGTGCCCCTAAAACAATGAAATGCAACAACTTCGATTCCAACATCCAAATCCTGTATTCGAATTCTCGAAAGAAGCACACGCGGTTAGGGTGAAACGCGTTCGAATCATTCTATAATTGGAATCCATGAAAGCCCGGGCCGCAACGTAAAGTACAACCTGGTCCAGAACACCATTATCTAACGTTATCACAGCCCAGGTATTATATAAAAAATGTGATACAGGAGTTTCTGATTATACTAAAATAACAGTTATCTGATCACACATTGTGATGCAGGTGCAAAATATATTCGATATTCCTCATTTCTTCTTTTGGATTTCTTTGCAACTAGTTACGTGACTTCCTGTATCTGCAATCTGCACCAAAGGTGCACCCTTCAGGTCTATTCAGTCATATTCAAACTGGCAGAACCCTGGATGGAGAGGTTCCGCATTCAGTCCCCTCCTGGAATAAAGAAGGCAACAACAATCAAGAAAATGCCAATGCCATCAAAGGAACTGAATAATACTGTACATGACAAAGTGGTAATCTTGCACTGCAAGATTCATTCTAAGACTTCTGTTCACATTGTCAAGGTTAAAATGTGCTTAAACCACTGACAACGCATTCATGTCGCCTTAACCGGTTAAGGTACCTGAATTTGTTCCTAATATAAACACCAGCCGACCAGGTTTGGGTGCCGTTCGGAGCAATCTGACCAGATTTAGTCCACACCTCCCTTTGTATGTCTAATAGAAACAAGTCTAATTTGATTCCTGAACATGCCCCAAACACTGCTGACTTACTCCCACATGGTCGGCTGGTGTTTTATTTACAGTCAAAAACCAGCAAACTATGATCGAACCTCCCACATGTCCCTCACACGTTTTAAACATTCAGCTGGTGCAGCCAACTGTAGCCGTTGGCTGCAAAGTCCACGTTATAAAACACCATTTGATTGAATGATTGATTGTGGCCAAATTCACTGAACGTCAGCCGGCTTTGTGCCAACTCACTCCACACCATGGTCAGCGAGCATACGGCTAGCGTTTAAGGGAGGTCAAATTCGTAAATGTGTGACAAGGGCTTTAGCAACCACAATGAGGTCAGTACTTTCGTTCAACCAGTACCAGTTTGTTGCCCAAAGTCTGTGTTAGCAGGTAGACTCACCTAACCATCCGACACCTTTGTTCGTCTATCCTCACTGCTGCATCTGCCATGCTTGTCACATCCTTGGCACTCCACAGTCGCTCAGCCACGGCACTGGCCCTGGGCCTGGGGTGGGACAGGCAGTACATTTATCATGAACACCACTCGTAAAGAGAATTCTAGCAGTGGAGATGAGATGCTAGCAAATACTACTAATAAATCTATTTTTCTGTGACCACATCACCAACACAGAAGTTAGGAACATTAAACAAGCTAAAGGAAAAAGCCACCTTGAAGACCTCAGTTAATGTTGTTAAAAGCAGGAAGGTGAAATGGTACAGCCACGTGACCAGCAGTAAAGACTTCTCCAAAGTGATCCTACAAGGAAGAGTGGCAGGGAAAAGGAAAAAGGCAGACAGAAGAAGAAGTGGGTTGATAGTATTACTATTAGGGAGTGGACCAGCCTGCCCCCTGCCAGCACCCCAGCGCTGGCTCATGACAGAGAGGGATGGAGGGAGGCAGTGTCACAGTGCTACAAAGTGCCCCCACGACCACCCCTGGTCAAGGGACCGGTAAGCGGTAAACTCATATGGATCTTCACAAAGTTCACAGTAAACACTAACTGTGAAGAACAGCATTAGACTAAACATCATATTAAGATAAAACCAACTAAACTGACAGGTACATCGTCAGAAGTACAAAAAAATGTACTACTGGTATCATGTCTTATCATACCAGTTTGATTCACTTGTAGACTTAATTTGATGTATTTTTAACCGGTGCATCAAAAATTTGATATACTAACTGACTTTATTGACTGCAATGAAAGGTTGAGTTGGAGTAGTAACTAACACTGACCAGAGCCTGGCAATCAGGTTTGTGCCATCCACATACTCCCCCCACATACAGGCCTCTCCTCCAATCACCAGGTCTTTCTGTTCTTGTGTGCCTGGAACAAAAACACATGTTTTTGTGAACTCCATTTTAGTAAAACAAAACTTTTGATAATAACAATAAAAAAAATTCACTCACTCAAAAACTATTGTTACTGCAACAGTAATATAGAAAATGCAGTGAGAGATCAGAGGTACACAATGTGTAAGACTAGTGTCGAGGCATGAGCTTTTTACCCCATAGACTGAATGAGCGGAGTGTGAGTTCTGGGATGTCATGTGTGAAGGTAGGGTGTTGTACATGTATGCTTTTCTACTCCTTTATACAAATGATAATATTATAGTTTTTAAGTTGAAGGTGACGGTGACACAAAATTTAGATTGTGTCTCAATAGATGACATGCACAATTTGTGTTGACATTTGTCCCTTCCCTCCAATTCAACTTTGCTTTAACTTGTTTCCTTCTGCACTAAATAAAAGAGTAAATGACTTATATGGTGACCGTATGAATAGCAGAAAATTGAACAAAGTACCCAGTATATGAGATGACCATTGATAACCAATAACACAAGGCACTTCTTCAAGTCTGCGGTTACAGCATTTCCCCCCTCACTCCCTGTGACTATTTGACACAGAACTGAAGACACACAAACAAAGAAACAGACAAACACGCTGATAACAGCCTCCCTACATGGAGGTAAAAATGGGAATGGGTAATGCTAGTATAACCTGCTCAAAAACAAACCATTAAAGACTTGAGGATCTAGTTTGTAGAACGTGGACCAGTCGGTTCCAGGGTTGTATACGTCATGGTTCAGATACCATCCAGCTGACAGTAACGTGCGATAACCCTTGGCTGTCAGCCTCTCTAGAACAGCCTGGATGGTGGGGTGTTCAAACCATACCTCCCCTACAGTGGACTTGTCCTGGTAACAACAATGCACAGTGAAACTGAAGGCACTGTGCTACGTACTTGCAGAAGCTTTCAATGACAACTTTTCCTCTTTTGTATACGTTACATCAACAAAGTTTCCATGGACTTCAACGTGGACAAGACTTAACAAAAACAGGAAGGGTTTTGCAGTCTCTAGGGTAAAAATCCTGACAGAAAGTAACGTTATTCAGTGCTAATGCATTGAAATGCCTTTTTTGGTTGGTTGACTGAAAATACGCCAATAATGTCACTGGTATATCTGATATTTCAAAAAGGGCTGGAATACTATAAACTATAAAAATGTGTACAAGATGGAAACGGTGTGTAAAAGAGAAACGCTTTCATAGGAAATGTACTATGGCAGTGTGTATGACCATATTTGGCATGTGTGACCATATTTGGGCATGGAGACCAGGGGCCTCAGGTACTTGCAGGTGTGGCTCTCATTGCAGGTTGGTGATTGGCTGCTGAGATAATTGAATCATCTGCTAAAAGAACACCTGCAGCTTGTGCCGCATACTAATAAGAGGAACAACTGCCTTCTCTTCTACAAGTATTGGCCAGGAAAAAGGAGTGCCTTGGGTTGTAAATCTGTGGTCAAACATTTGTTGACATTGTTCCCTATGAACTTCCCCTGAACTAAGACCATGTCATTGGAGGGAAGGGATCAGTGTTAGTGTAATAATTATGTGTTACATTGAAAACACACTGTGTAGTGTCATTCTGAATGAAGATGTGCTGTATACCAAGACACCGTGCAGAGAGTGTGGTAGATGACATGCAAGCAAGGCCAAAGAGAACAACAGGTTGTACATATACATGTGGGATTGGCTATTCGCTTGGCTTGGGTACTTTCGCTTGGCTTGGGTATTTGCAAAAGTGCAAACTGCAGGCAAACTTTCTTACAACTTGCATTATTGCAGGTAATAAAAATAAAACAATTTGAGCCCAGTTGTCCCTAACATCATGGAGTTAGAAAACCTCTGATTTCTAACTCCATACTAACATGTAACCCCTATGTACTAACCAGTGAAGTCCTGTGGTTCACAGGTGTAATACTTCCCCCAGTCAGTTCCATAGGAGATGTAATTGAGGTACCAGCAGGAGGAAAGGATGGCCCGCAAGCCCTTGGCTGTTACCCTAGCCATTTCTGTGGGTACTGCAGGATTGCTCTTCCACACTTCCACTACTGTGTCCTTGGCCACCTAAAAAAACACTACTTTTAGAGGGACTTAGGACAAATAGCACTAGCAACTTTTGCTTGTGCTTTTTACACCCATAGGCAGCATCAAGAACAAGCTTAATCATCAACGTCACAAATTCAGCAAAAGCCTGACACTGAGACAGCAGACCACAATTTTCCAGCTAGACCTATCATTGTCATACTATAAAAAATGATGGCTTTGCAATTGGTCATGAGGGTAAGTAGTGGTCATAATACAGCAATTCTTCAACATTTTTCTCTGTGCTGACAAAGATTGGGCTGCCTACAAAAACTGGTGAGGGCCAGATACAGAAAATAATCTTCAATCCTGACAGCTAGTCACAAACCGAAAACGTGGTTGTAGTAATTTTATAATCAGAAAATCAAGCACTTCACATGCAACTGATGCTCATGGTCACATAGACTGCTTGAGCCAATATCTGCCACAATGATTCTGTTTGTCCAAGTCACTTTGTTGATGTAACTTATACCTACATGTATTATATGAGCAATATAGTATAACAGAGAATAGTAGAAAATTTTAAGTAGTATGTCATAAACTTTTTTTAATCTTTTTCAATCTTCATATGGATATTATTTACTACTTTTCTACTGTGAACATAAAGACTTAGTGAACTACAGTATCCTACCTGTACTCCATTGTCCAGCACCTCCTGCCATACTATATAGTTTCTCCCAATGGAGGTGGAAATGTCCAGGATACTGTAGGCAAACATGCATGACTGTTATAATTACTGTTAGTAGCCATAAGGACAAACCAATGCAAGAACTAAATTTGATAAAAGATTATCATAACTCCTTCAGGCCACACCAATTTGATTTGTTGGTTCTCGGAAAAAAGAAAAAATATGAAGCGACAGGTATGACCTAGGCATCCTATGATTGCCCTAAATGCTATGGTAGGAGCCATGAAGTCAACTTACCAGGCTGGTTTGTAATTCAAACAATAATGAAAACATAGTATACTCAGTAATTGCAAAACATTATATTGTCAAGTATTTCTTGGTAAGTCTTACTTTTTGATGTAGTATTGCTCCAGCTTGGAATAGTCTGTTCCAAAGCCCATGGTCTCCATAAACTTTGTAATGTCTGGATTACTCTTCCTACATATAAATCAAAGAACATCACAAGTTTGAAAGAGCACTGGTACAGGTAACATTAAACACAAGACAAATTTTATCTGCATCATAAAGACTTTGAGAACTATGGATCACACTAAAAACAGTTGAGAAACCATAATGACATTATTTCTTTTACATTTCATATCTGGTTGTTACAATCAACACAGCAAATAAACAACATGCACCTACATGTATATATAAACCCAGTACATGGACTGGTGCAGGTAGACATCAGAAACACCTGCACAACACCTGCCCCAGTTTTGCCTGCACTAAGTGCATGCACTTTAAATTAGTATTTCGAGCTCTGAAGTCTTCAGTATGTTCTGACAGTGTGTTTAGTCAAAATCAAAAACTCAAGTAAGCTAAGCATTGTACATGCACATCAACACATGATTTTATGCTCAGACTGCTGAGCCTTAAACTCACCAGCAGTTGAAGTTGACCTCATCCCCACCCAGATGGACATACTTGTCAGGGAAGACATCCTTCACTTCCTTCAGTAGTTTAGTCATCATGTCATACGTAGTGTTCCGTATGGGGTTGGCTGCGTAGTACTTTCCATTGGGGGTGGTCCCATCATAACATGGTGTGAGAAACCCTGGGAGACCTGCACCCCAGGAGGCTGTGTGGCCTGGAAAGACACATCATATAGTTTTAAAATTAAAGGGGCATTATGTAACATTTCTGCACTAAAAATTCAAACATTTAATTGAAAAAAAATCTTCATGAGATTATTATAATTTACTTCCACTTTTCAACATCTTTGTGCAATTATCTTACATTTCTGACATAAATGATTGGCACACTGAAATAGCCCACAACAGGTGCACTTGAAGTCTTAGTTTGTGGTGCCACCACAAACTACCAGAATGTAAACAAACATGGATGACAGCTGTGTTTTATGCTTTTTTAAGGGCACAAGATCGGTGACATGGCAGTATTCAAACCCCTGACCTCTTGGTTCTGAGCCAAACACACTAAGTCTGCTGTTATGCCACAGGACTCCACACGATATAACATTGGAACTAGAAAGGTAACATTTGCAAAATGTTTGACCTTCGCATATGGTCTGCTCTGTTAATTCTTACTCAAATACATTAATACATATGGTCAGACAGGAGTATAAATCCCTCCTACCGGTACTGACAAAATTGCAACATCATGTAACCCATGTAACCCATGTACTGGCAAGGTCAACAAATCAGGTCATTGGCCAGGTCAGAGGTCAGTGTTTGGAATGTAAGAAGAAGAATATCTACATGTAGGAAATGTAGCAAAAACAATATGTTTTCCTTTGGTAAACATAATGATTACAAAGCCAATTACATACAAGTATTACTGATTAGATGAGAATTATAATAAGCCATACCAGGGGTGTCAAACTCTGGCACAACCCTGATGCCCCTCAGTCGGGAGTACTCTATAACATCCTTGATGTCATCTTGGGTGTACAGGTGGGTATAGGGGTTGAAGGCTCCCTGGAGTCAAAGCAACATCAAGTCAAAATAAATCTACAAACCGAACATCAAAACAAGTATTTCAAAGGCCGCATCCAATGCAATTTCAATGCGACAAAACAATATTCTGGAGGAGGGAATCTGTTTCATTGCATTTACTGCCATTTCTTAGCAAATTTGTGTTTTAAATAGCCCCCAAACAAGCTACAGAAGGCGTCTTTTCATTTTTGGGTACCACCCATAAATAGCTAGAACCAGCCTACAGTACAAAACAAGCAACAGTTTTCCCATCATTTTTGCCTCGCAGATATCAGTATGCTATGGGATAGGATTGATTCAACTTACTACTAAATGCAAGACTAGAATTATGTAGAAAATTGACTTTGAAAATCCAGTTTCTCTGCCATGAAATTGTATTGTTAGATGCCTTTAAAAAACACCTTGGTCAAAATATTGAAAAATGACAAATGTACATTATACGTATACCAAGCAGCAGTTTCATGCAATGTGCAACCATTCTCTTATTCGTTAAACTGCTAATCTTGACAGCAGGTGAATATTGGTCTACTGAGAACAACTGTTGCCATCAAGTTAAGCATTTTAAGTGCAGCTGTACATTTCAAAATGTTACAGTAATAAACTTTGGGACTCAATTACTATCTAGGTGTGACAACACTACAATACTATACCTTAGCACTAAGATCAGGAAAGACAACACTCTGATATGGGAAGGACTGGTCGTCCACAATGTGCCAATGGAACACATTGAACTTGTTGTAAGCCATCGCATCCTGAAATCAAGAACAACAAGAAGCCATAGGCGACAATTCTCCGTGAAGTATTATATAGTGCAACAAAAAGAAGTAGCCATTGGCGACAATTCTCTGTGAAGTGTGATAAATCGAACAAAAAAAATTGTTTAAACGCGCGTCGGCTCAGTCATCTTAAGACGCAACAACCAATCAGAGATGCGAAATGCCGACACGTGACGCGGGATTTGCATACAGTCTAAACAACGGGGAAGGGCGCGCGATGCCCGAAATATTTTTGCGTCAATATTCAGCGCCGTGTTTCAAGAGATTAATACCGGGAAACAATTTCTTTTCTTGTTTTGAACGCATAAACATGCATTTACGCTAATCTAGTATGATTCAGGGTTACTTTTTTTTTACCTGCCATGGCCAGATTATCTAAAGATGTGTGTATTGTGTGTGCAATCTACAGAAAGAGAAATGTACATCAGGTCCGATTTTCACGTTTCGGTTTTTTGGACTCGGTTCATGAACGTATTTTGGTTTGGCTCCTGGAATGTGCGAAAAAATGACTCCCGGGACTGTCTACAGGGAACACTCGCACATTCGCGGTGTATCAGGACAGCGCGACTGGTCGGCATTAGCGCAGTCCCTGCAATTAGTAACAGTTGCACATCAATCCGGCCGAAAGCATGATTGTGTAACACAGGCTACTTCTTCATATACCAGCTCATACTACACGACGCCTTTACAACTAGCAAATCATAAAATTACCCGATCTACTAGTACTGTATGTGCGGTTTACCAGCCCCAGACCACATCCGACCACGAGGCAGAACACATTGATGGGTTGCTCAAAAATATTGTCCATGTTTACAAAGAGTTGCTCCACTAACACTATGGAGCGGCCCAACCCAAAAATATTGGCCATGTGTCATTGCTAGGACGACCGGCCAGTTGCTACGTGACTAAATACACGCCGCCACTAGGTCGCCACACCCGACCAGTTTGAAATCGATAGGATTACGTCATCGGTATTAACATTTCCTAATGTTGACCTCTGACCACCCCACATTTCCGTCCCCATTAGCCCCGCCGCGACTTACTACCGGTGACATAAACGGACGACAACATTTCAACGACATGGGGATGTTTCGAAAATAACCATTTACTCCAATATCAAAACAGCTACGGTAAAAATAAAAAGACGTGCATCATCCCGGACATAATGCCACACCACATGCGAAATTACACAAAAATGCGACGTACGGAAGAATGCGTTTTGGCTGTGAACATCTTCCAAAAAACTTGGCATCTCTTAACCATGGGCAAAAACATCTGGAACCACTTATCAAAACCACCCCGTATCTGCATGAAGTTCCACCCCCCCCACTGCTATTCCAAACAACGCGTTTTTCTGGACCATTCCAATTCGCCTCGTAATTGTAGGGGTTCGTCTGCAATATTACATTGACCGCGAAAGCAGCAACGGCAAAAATACACATTCGTGCATCAACACGGGCATGCCCGCAGACGGCGTATAAAATTGCGTGCCGATTACACAAAGAGAACCCAGTGTTTTGACTGCGAACACGAAAAATCAGCCGATCACAACACTCCGTCCGGAGGTCCTGACCTCCTTCACGGAGTAATAAAATCTATAAGGAATATGGAATGTTATTGTCAGCACTGAATCTGTATGGTCTTTGAATTTGCATGTACATAATCAGGATCTGTATAATGTTGAAACTATAACAATGATGCATAAAGCAAAACCCCTGATCCTCCTCCCTTGTACTCTCAAAAAGTGGCTTAGGTAAAGGAGTATATGTTTTCAGGATTAAAAAAAAAACTTGAAAAAGAAGATAAAAAGATCTTAGTTAACTTTTTTTCGTTGCCAAAAAATTCTGTCAGGAACACATATGGGAAAAGGCTTGGAATCAACAACAGTGTAACAAAGCTACAGCCTAAGTAGGTAACCAATCAAACTTTGAGTTTGAGCATGATGAACTGGACAAGCTAATCAGCTTTGAGCATGATGATCTAGACAAGCCAATCAGCTTTGAGCATGATGAACTGGATAAGCCAATCAGCTTTGAGCATGATAGACTGGACAAGCCAATCAGCTTTGAGCATGATGATCTGGACAAGCCAATCAGCTTTGAGCGTAATGATCTGGACAAGCCAATCGGCTTTGAGCATGATAAACTGGGAAAGCCAATCAGCTTTGACAGTTTGAACATGATGAACTGGACAAGGCAATCAGCTCTACCGGTAGACTCTTGCAGCCCTTACCAAATTCTGCTTGATGTACTTGAGGGGGATGAAATGTCGGGAGGTGTCCAGCAGGATCCCTCTGTGGGCAAACCTGGGAAAATCATCTATTGTGGTCTTGTTGATGAGCATCTGTTGCAGTAGAACAAAACATTGTTATTCACAAGTCAATTTTTGGTTTTCACACAATACACTGTACTATTGTTTATTCAAGTCCATAGGAAAGTAAAAATAGTGAACGAATACACATTATGCTCAACAATCATACATGGTAAAATGCATGGCAATAACTTTTCAAACAACAATACTACAACTAAAAAATATTATCAATATCACTTACCATGCCATTATCTGTTCTGTATACTAGTTGGGAAAATGTCTCCAACCCTAAAACGACAGCATACATGTAACATAGATTATGACAAAATACACACAATCTATCTGTAGCAGCAGGAAGTTGGGAAAAGAACAGCAACAGGAAGTCCTTCATGGCCATGGGATGGCAAATTTTGCTAATTTCCAGCCTCTGCCAAAAACCATACTAGTAATGAACTGAAGGGAGATAATTCCCACAACTTAATTAGATCATTGGTTCATACCTCTCAACACTCCCCATGCTGAGTCAGCAACCAGTGTTCCCATTGGTGCAGCCACTGTCAGAGTGTCTGTGAACAGTAACATGTGACAAAGAAGAATTGTTATGATAATACTTACCCCTATTCTACAGTCTTTCTAACTCTAACAACAAAGCAGATTCTCAGAAACAACAGACTGAAAATAATGTTTAGATTTGGATTAACTAAATCTGTATCTATATCTATAGAGCTACACACCAGCTACATGTATTACACTGACTTCACTGTAAAATGTAATCAACAAATGATTTTTAAAGCATAATAAAACATCAATATTGTCCAGATATCCAAAAATGTTATGGTGTAACGTTAATAATGTCTACTATTGAGTTTGGGTCAAATAAGAATACGAAAGCACTGGGATTTACCAAGTAGAATTGGTGAGGACATTAATAATTATATAAAAATTTATATATTAATCAGAGCCTGCCTGAATTTAGCATATATTTGCATATTTTATAACACCTACTACAACTGCTAACTTGAAGGTGCATAGATGTTGCCTTTGATTCGTTTGAAGAACAACAGAACAGGTGCAAAACGTTTAGTAGATAAATATTTGGATTTCTTGAGACTCACAGTTTTCTGAGGACTCCAAGCTGGGGTAGACTCCCGTGCACGGCTCCTTCACCATCACCTGTAGTGTATTCAGCTCCGACATGTCTTTAGATGCCACAGGAGCCTTCCTCAGCCCATCAATGTCGAAAATAAGATCATAATACCGCTGGAACGCCTGGTCAACGATGTCGCACATCTCAGAGGAAGACCCGTAAGTAAATTTGAAGCTGGGCATCGCCAGAGCGTAGGCTTCTGTAGAAGCCGTCATCGTCTGAGGCTTGGGCAGGACCTTGCCCGTCTGTTGCACCATGACGGGCTTCTGGTAGCCCGGCACGTCGTGGCAAGGGAGCGGGGAGACGAACAACGCCAAGAACACGGCGAACAGGCTGAGGACCGCCATCTTGTTTGGGTCATATGGTTCCTGCAGGTATGAATGTCATGTGATGGGATGTCACGTGATGACATCCGCATCGCATCAGCGCAACTTCATATTATTTGGTAGCCTCGAGAAAAATATTGTTTGAAACCATGTGTATTCCAAAGGCCACATAAATGCCAGAAATCTGGGCGATTTCCATAACGGGAGCTCTGGGGTTGACTTATACTTCGCAAGTGCCCTAACTCACAGTAAACTTAATCTCCAAGCAGATTCGGTGGGGCAGGGGGACTTTATATTGGCCAGTCCTGTATCCATTGGCCGCCTGTATCCAACGGCGAACGTTGGA